TCTTCAACTCTGTGAGGTGGAAATCTATTTGCGAGGTACATATCATTAAACACAGAGATTGGTATTGACTAAAGATCTTTAAGCAAAATTTTGAAGTTTTTGTTCAACTTTAGTGACACTGATAGTTCTAAAATCTTCTTTGACCACACTTTTGATGTAACCAGATGCTGATTAACGTAGTTGCATGTTTCATTTCAGACAATCTTGCATTTGGAAAGCAAACAAATCAAAGTGGTGTAAATTTTGACGGTGTAAGTAGCAGGGCAGTTGATGGTATCAACAACACAGATTATTACGCTAACAGCTGTACCCACACTGACAGAGAACTCAACCCTTGGTGGAGAGTTGACTTGGGAAAAATTGAACCAGTTTCGGAAATATACCTAGTCAACCAAGAAAACCAGTGGTCTTACAGGCAGAATAACTTTGAGATCAGAGTTGGTAGGTTACATCATTTTCGAAATTGTAACATTATGCCATAGTGTCAAAATGTCTTGAGCAATCATGTCTCATAATATTAGTAGTGTCAAATTATCTTCACACTTTGACTGGTGGGTTTCATTCAAGTTTATGTATGCCTATATGTAGGAAGACATTTAGCAGAAATTTTTGTCTAGTACATCATGATGGTGAATCATCACTTTCCTTTTGCACTACTCGTCGAAGATATGATGGAATAATAGGGGCTGGACCCTGGATCTGAAGGTCCAGTTTGTAGCCTTGGTTTTGCATTGTACTCCAGGGTTGGAAACTTTTTTCCATTATTCCTCTTTAAAGTTAGGAATACTGAATTTATATGGATGCTGAACAATGAACGCCTGCTACAATGGATTAGCTACTCCTCTGCTACGGTTTCATAGTGTAAACTATGGCCCAGTTGTTGGGCAGATAATGCTATTCAACTGATAAATCGCTATCCAGTGGATAAGAGTTAGCAAAATGTGTTGCACTATCCAATGGGTAGATCAGATTTATCCAGTGGATAGCATTATCCTGCACTCCAGTGTCTCGTGATCTCTGGTAGTGTCAGCCCTTTCCCTCCTTTGGCTTCATGTAACACTCTCACACCCCCACTTTGTAATGATAGTAGCTTGATAGTAACTTGGTAACAATTTCTTGATTTCTCAATTCTTTATAGGCACCGTGTCTAATAATGGAGGAATTACCAATCCCAGGTGTGGTAATAAGAGTTATAGTCTTCCAAGAGGAAAAGGTGTATCCTTTTTCTGTCGTCCTGTATTACTTGGAAGATATGTGACAATAAGAAGCTTAAGAATTGACCTTGAAAACTTCACACTTTGCGAAGTTGAAGTTTATTCTGAAAGGAGAGGTAATACATCTTATATCAAATATACCTGTATATCTTTGAAAACCTCACACTGATTAAAGTCGTAAGTTATTGCACAGATAAGTTGTGCTAATGTACACTAGTTCTATCTGCATGCATGCATAATCATTTTCTGAATATAACTGATATGCTCTGTTGTTGTGGTTGAACCTGTATATATATATTTTTTCAGCTTGGTAAACTTAAACTCCCTGTAGGCTCAATCTTACTGCCGTTTTCCTTAATTTTTTCTTTCCATGCATTTACTATCTGTATATTATCAAGAATTAAAACCTTCTACTTAACATAAATTCTTGATTCCTTTCAGAGTTAGAGGGATTTCTGCTGTAGTTTTAAATGCAATTGGAAATGTTTGTGCCTGAAGTTCTCGTTATACTTTACCTTACAATAAAACTATTCCAAGCCTTTGCTCCAAAATATTTAAATGACAGTTCTCTCTGCCATGCTTTTACTGTGCCTGCAGATACAATTTGATTGAATTTTTTTTTCAAACCTTTTATATTTAGTGGTAATTAATTACACTGGTACAATATTGAACATAAGTTATCATTATATATGTTGTGGAAGTCTGGTGCTAGAGGCCAAAAAAATTTTCAAATCAGTACCCCTGATTACATAAATGAAAACCATAGGATTATTAAACAGCTCAAGTATGATTTCATATTAACTGAATCTTACGGAAATGGAAATTAGTTTGGATTGGCAAGTTTGCTGTCTTAAATACTAGTGTGTTGTATACATCTGCATATTAATTAACCAGTTCAACATTTTATAATGATTGATTACAGCTTGCCAAATGCAGGCCATAGGTGTGGCTAGCACTGACACACTTCCTAATGCCAGCTTCTCAACATCAAATGAAAGTTCAAGATGTGAAGCTTTTAGAGGTCGACTGAATGCATATGGGGGATGGTCACCCAGCAGAAATGACAGACCTGATGACTATCTGCAAATTGATCTGCAGTATGAGTTTCTTATTTGTGCTGTAGCTACTCAAGGGAGGTCAACTTCTGATGACTGGACAACTGAGTACAAGTTACAGCTATCCTTTGATGGTTCCACTTTTGTGACCTACAAGGAAAACAATGTTAACAAGGTTGATTAAAAAAGCTACAGCTGAGATTAAACACAGAACTGTGGAAGATATTCTTAGAGTTGCACTAAAGGGTGATTTCAAGAGCTACATGTATGTGGGGGTTTTAAGTCTCAAACTCTGAACCCTGGAGAAAATTTGTGGAATCGTGGTTGTGTTCTTAGACTTAAATAGAAGGTCACAATCTTAAATGCATTACCCTTTATCATGTACTGAGATTTAAATAGAAATGAGCATCTATCATAGGTGGACATTCATGCATGTCTCTAAAAGCAAGGAACTTAAATATGTATGTTGTGGGTTATATTAGCATCCTGAGTAAGTACAATATGTATGCAGAATACAAAGTTGCCTGTCATATATGCATAACGTAAATTGAATTAACTGACCTTATAAAGCAGGAAAACGAGAACACATCTGGATACTTTGGTGCACATACTCAAGTTGTCTTGAGCAGTCTGACTGGCGGCTAGTATCTGAGGGATGTAATGAGAATTATTCCAGAGTCTGCTATGGCCAACAATGAGAAAATTGATCTACAGTTTAATCATCAACTCATATTTCGAATTATTTGTTTTAGATTTTCAGTGGCAATTCTGGAAGACATGATATTGTCAAACACAGTCTCAGAAATGTGAGGGCAAGGTTCATCCGTTTCCAGCCTGTCAAGTTTGTTGGAAACAAAGCTTTGAGAGTAGAGGTGTATGGAGTTCTTATATCTAGAGGTATATTATGTTTAACTTAATATCATCAAGTTTTCACATTGAGTAATTTTAAGGCTGGCATAATGGTTAATTTATTATATAGCCTCTTTGTTTATTGGATGTAGTTTATTTTTGTGAACACTCCCTGCAGGCAAACATCATATACAGGTGTTTACGTGTACGTAGACCGAATTAGGAAGTGGCATTTTCCACAAAAAGGTCTTAACCTACAGCTGTATGACTCCCAATCATGGAGCTGGATATGTACCTATGTTAAATGTTGGTGGCTGTCTGCTTGTCTGCTTGTCTGAAGGGGTCTACAAATGGAAAATTAATCTGTTTAAGTCTGTTTTGGGTTACGTTCTTCTCCCATTTACATAATTAAGTTCATATATGCACTCCCAATAGTTCCAAAGACCCTGCAAATTAACATTTTTCAATATAACTGTGCAAGACTTTTCACTAAGTGGAAGAGTAAGGCTGGGTTGAATTTGATCTCTTAAATACCACATGAATTGATTTCTATGTGTAAAAGAGTGAAGAATATTGGTAGCATTGTTATTATTATTATTATTATTATTATTATTATTATGATAATCAATATTACTTTTGCTATTATTCAATCACCATTCTGTTTAATTTCAGTCCCCTCACAAGCACCCAGTGAATTGACTCTATCTGCAACCTCTTCTACAAGTATCACTGCATCCTGGCAGTTACCTCCTGCATATTCCAGACACGGAATCATTGCAGGGTTCAAATTGTCCTATAAAAAGAAAGGGTTTATTGGGTCAATACATGTGGAAACTATCAATGGTGGAACAACCTTTTCTGGAGTAATTAATGGTCTGGATAAGTACACAGAATATGAATTTCAAGTGTTGGCTTTTACATCTCACGGTGATGGACCAGAGAGTTCAGTTGTGGTAAAAAGAACAATGGAAGATGGTAAAAAACTTGATTGTTTGTAGCAGTGGCACTTCCACTCTTGGTTGGTTTTCAAGAGCCTATCACATAGTGAAGTTGGGTTGACATGCAGTAATGCATGTATAATGTTTGACTGTGTATATATGCTGAAATCCTAACAAAATACAGCAGCTGTATATTAAGTCCCCTTGTAATTTAGTCGAGTTTTTTTTAAAATATTTAGATATTTTTTTCTATTCTTGACACCATTTTTTGTATTATGGGTGAAAACTGTCAAGCAAAATGTTTTTTGTGTTTAATTTTGAATCAATATCAGCATCCAAGCAACTGCGCACCTAACCCAACATTAACCCTTCTTGTTCTCAGTTGACTGTTGATGGGTAAGGGGAGGGGTAGGTGTGCAGTTGCTTGCAGAAGATATTGATATTAAAATGTTATTCTTGTAAGTTTATAGATTATGCTCACCAAGGCAGATGATGATGTAAAATGTAAAACATACTCTGAGAAGGTTATAATTTTAGGATTTCTTACCATGTATGTTTCAATCTACATTTCTGGTCCTAATCATAATAACAGTGAATCTTAATTTTAGTCCCTTCACAACCTCCTAGTGGCTTAACTGTGGCAGCCAGCTCTTTTACCAGTGTTTTAGCATTTTGGCGGTTACCACCCGAAGACTCCAGAAATGGAATCATCACAGGATACAAACTGTTTTATAGAGAAACAGGTGGTGATAGGAGTCCAACAGTACAAATACTCATCCAAAATGCAGCAATTCGGTCCAGATATATAACTGGGCTACAAGCTGATACAGAGTATGACTTTCAAGTGTTGGCCTTCACATCTGTTGGTGATGGACCAAAGAGCTCGGTGAAAGTCGTGAGAACAGCTGTAGATGGTAAGACACTGACAAAACATTCTGTGGGAATTTCTTTACCTTTAAAATCATTATCATTTTACATAATAAACCAAACTGAGTGCAATTTTAATTCCTACATGTAGAACATTATTAATTTCCGAATTTTCTTCTAATTAGTACTTTTTCTTTAGCACCTAGTCCTCCGGCTTACCTCAATCATACTCCGTTTCACCTTGGCGGGGTAGGGTACTGCTACACGTAGGCTAGATAATGACTCTGAATTCATCGTTAAATCTTGACTAACATTGGATGGGTGTTCTCCTTCTTTTGATACACAAGCTGTAGAAGTAGGAAAGAGAGAAGGCTCTAAATCTGTTAGTATTGTGCAGATTGCCGTTCCTGTGGTTCTGGTTATAGTCTTGGTACCATTGCTTCTTGTCGCAATACTGCTGTATCGGAGGTATGCTTGACCCGCAATAATGGTTTCTTATAATGGCTGTGAAAGCAGTAATTTTCCTGATGATGTTTCAAAATTGTTTCATTTTCCTTACTTTGTAATTAAATATCATAAAACATAAAACTTTTTGTGTGTGCCAAGTGTAACTGTGTAATTCCTACCACCGTTTCAGGAGGAGAAGGGCAGAAAAATCAGGCCAAGAGATTGACAGCAATGAAGTACATGTTCCACTTGATGAATTCAGGATGGATTCAGTTGAGTCCGGTGGAATTACAACTGACTTAGTCTATCAAAACGTGTCTGAAATTCCTTCAGATGGAAATGGTAAGCTATTGCATTGATGTTAAAGTATGATTGATGCAAAACCGATAGTGTACACACATATGATTACATCTCCAGCTCACTGTCACGAGAAGAGCTTTACAACATAGAAATGTTCGAAAGGACACAGGTGGCCCAAGCTTTTCTTATGTACGTAGAAAACCCCGAGATAGATAACTCGCTAAAATGGGTTATCTTCAACATAGTGGAAAGAACGTCTTTGTTTGTCGTCTATGCCATTGCTGTAAATGTCCGGAGTGCAGGACAAAAGAAAGATTATGAGTTGTCCGTTCAAGTGCGAGCGTCAGACCTCCCGAATTTTCGGTCAGACACCCTACCAAATGAGCTCTAACGACATCCTTTGCGAGGAAGGCCATATACTAGGCCTACGTAAAGCTAATATGACCACGATCAGCAATATTGAAAGTGTCTTAAGGAAGTGTTATAGGGTTTTTTGACCGCGCAAGATCTGGATATGGACATAGTGTCAACATGCAAAACAAACATGGCGGGTCGATACGATCGCACGATTGTTATCTGAAAAGGTGTGTTAAAAACGGTTTAACACTATACAATTTTTAATGTGGTGGAATATTGGGTTTCCAGCAATTGCACCCGTAATATTCATAGGCCTTCTACGCCTGAAGAAAAGGTCAACCGAAAAGAAAACACCGCCGTGGGAAAGATTGCCAGAGGCAACGGATTCGAAAGTCTACGCATACTCAGATACCGATCATGGCGAAGTTTTATACCATTACGTAATGTTTTGTGACAAAGAAAACAGTGATCTTTTGAGTAAGATTTATCGCGTTTCCTTCGGTGGAATTTCTTAAGATTTGTTGGAACGTTAAACATATTTGTGCCCTTCCTAGTGCCTGTTGGTAACAAAAAATCCTTGAGACCACATTTGAAATAGAGGAAGAAAGCACAAACTTGCAAATAGCTAAGAAACTGCTTCTGTAATCCCTTACTTTTTCGGCTTTGAAATAATCGACAGGGCAATTTTCACAAATTGTGCAACCTTTGAAGAGATTTCCCTAATCTGTAATTGTAGATAATCAAAGGCAAAGCCAAATTAGCCAAATTATCACTGGCGAGCGCCTCCCTTCGTGGAGCCTTAGCTTAATAACGAAAATCATCTTCATAATATTTACTAGAACAAACGATAGTCCGAACATTGCTCGTTGCCTTTTGAAGGCTTTTTGCGACCTTGAAAAGCGGAGGAAAACAATTTTTTCTAGAAAAACATTACGCTGGCGCGCGCGCCAACATTGAGCAAAAGCCCCATGGACCCTCCTTAAAAAGTCAACAAGGAAATGAAGTGAGAAAGATGGTAAATTTTGAGCTGAGTTGTCCGATCAATAGATTTTGAGCATTTGTCACAATCGTGAGACCGAGGAAAAAACTGGGTCCCTTGTGACGATGGGACTATTAAGCTAGACTGAGAGGATTCGTTTTTAATTAAAACCAACCTCCTGTAATTCTTCTTACACAGAATTTGGTAAAACCTCCCTCCCCGAAGCAAAAGAATCGGTGTACAGTGAGGCTGATGATGGTAAGCCAAAACCAATTCCCGTGGCGGAGTTTGCTGAATACTTCAAGAACAAATCAGCCAATGGAAGCGTCGTGCTGGAAGATGAATTTGAGGTAAGATAATATATTTTATGATAGCTTTTTAAGCGGATTTCCATCAGCTAATGCTGGTTGCAGTTTTCATGTCGACGAGTTGTCTATAGAAGGGTGGAAGAAAAGTGTGTAACAGCTGTTTCCATAGGGGTCTGTGTCCAAAAGCAAGTGCTAGGTTTTTGGTAATAGAAACCTGTCAGAGAAAAACTTATGGGAAACAAAATTTGAAAATTTATTTGAGATCACACGGTCACTTTTCAGGGACTGAACAACAAGTCTGCTCAGGCTCCAGAAAGTTTTTTTTAATCAGACCAAGTCATCTGCATTATGTTAAATTAATCCTTGGCTAGCTAGCTTTTTAACAGGCAAAGGTTTTCCTTATTGATAACTACACGCTTCATTCGTTGGAATTATATAGTACCTTTGGTCATCTTCATACTGCTGGCCGCTGTGTAATATGCGTAAGTATTATCTGCTTCGACAAGGTTTCTTGCTTTAGTGAAGAGAGTTTCCTTTTGCAAGTCTTTAATGCTGTGTGACTGTGGTTGTTGTTGGTTTGACCTTTGTAATTTAGTATATTTGCAGTTATTGTTTCAAGATCATAAACATGATTAACATGACCATTGATGTCTAATTGCCTATCCCTTCAAATCAAAATAAGTTAATGTCCCGTCGAAAAACGACTTGTATATTTAGCTGGCTTGGGTACATAGGTAATAAACTTTTTATACTTATTTTGTTTTTTAACAGAAGTTACCCAGCATTTTCCCGTTCTCTTGGGACGTTGGCAAAAACAACAAAGTGAAAAACCGTTTTGGAAATATTACGACCTGTAGGTGAATTATATTTATTCTGCACTATCCAATTGTATTTTACACAATAAAAGGTTTTTTAAATACTCATTCGCTTTGACGGAGAGTATAGACATCAATTACAAATTTGCATTAAAAAATCTCACTTTGGAGACACTTAAAGTTGGTGGAATCCTCTGTGATCGCAGATCGCAGGACAAAGTTTAACTGAAGGATTAACTCTTGCAGACGAAGAGGAGGGCGAACCAGGGTTACCGGGCTCTACAAGTTACTAGTGGTCACTGCGTGAGAATTAGTTTGAGTACGAGTGTTTATTGAGGAGAGAGATTCCACTGTGACAAATTCGTCTCTGTGAATGCTTAAGACTGGCTCTTTTTCGTGACAGATGATCATTCTCGCGTTGTTTTGGAGAAAATAGAGGGTGATCTAAATTCTGACTACATTAACGCTAGTTACATTCCGGTAAGTACGACAACAATACTCTGTAGTACGGTCCATTTTAACTGTACATCACTATATTTTGAATTCTCTATTGTGTTCTTAAAGATAACTTATTATAGAGAAATTTTCAATTGACAATAGAGGGTAACCTGGGATTGCAGTGTCTGGCTTTACTTACCCCTGTGATTGTCCCTGTAAACTCGTGCTACTCTCTCAATCAATTAGTTGTAACCCTTTAACTCCCATGAGTGACCAAGACAGAATTTCTCCTTATTATATCCATACAATATCATGCAGAAAAGTGACGGAAATAAAGAAAAAAATATCAATTATGGGACTGCTGATTGATCCGATTTAAAATTCTTCAAACTAACATAATAAGAATCATTTGGGAGACAGTAAGGAGAATTAGTAATGAGATCTTGGGAGTTAAAGGGTTAAAACTAAACTCAGCCAATTGTAGACTTGGTCGTTTCTCACGCTGTAGGTAGTTTGAATGTAGTTTCTTTGAGTTCTCTTTGGCTCACTGACATATCTTCCTTTATTCTGCATGGCTGTGTGATTACTATGTTATTGGCTTCACAATACTCAGTTGTAATGCCCTCTTTTGGAATTCATAAGGATAGTTTGCTATGGTAACCAAAAAACAAATAAAGGAATATACTTCAAAATTGAACTAGGATTTTTACAGATGGAGAATATAAAAACACATTACAAACGAAGAACGAAAGTAAGAAACTTAAATAAAAGCAACTTTTCTCTCAGCTTGATAGGCAAAAGGAGCAGGAAATATAAACAGCCAAATAATCACTTGTGTCTCTAAAGCAAATGATCAGTTATGATTTAAAAATAACTTTTATTTCATTCTTAGACTGTTGATGAGGAATCAATGAACTACATTGCAACGCAGGGTAATTATAATACATGTTAGTCCCGATAGAAAGCCAAGACATTATTCACATTTTCCAACCCACAGTCGGTTGTACATTTAATTGTTTTCCTTGGACAATTGTTAAATAAATATAGCTGGTATATCACTGTTGTAAATCTGTGATAGATCTATTGAGTGAAGTGTGCCTAGGTGCATATGGTTTGTTTCTATTAAGTCTCTCAATACCTTGTTGATATTTTGTCAGGTCCAACCTCTACAACAATCAGCGATTTCTGGCGAATGATCTGGCAAAAAAACTGTTCTGTCATCGTCATGTTAACCAACTTGGTCGAGTTGGGAAAGGTATTCCTACTGTGAATCCTTCTAATGTGAAAAGTACTTTTCTTTATTATATTCTCTGGGTTCTTTACAGGGGGTTGATAAACTTTTTCGTGCCCGGTTTCTAAAACAGAAAAGACTTAGAAAACGATACAAATTTTTTTAGTTTAAAAGACGAGTGATACATCTACATTTTTTTTCACTTTCTAAGAACAAGTGTGATCAGTATTGGCCAGACAATACTACCACGTTTGGATCCATCACAGTAACACTACTTAGGACGCAAAGCTTCGCTGACTACTGCATCCGAACCTTAAAATTAGTCAAGGTAAGGAAAGAACACCTTATTTGCATGATGTTTATTCCTTAAAATTGAATTAAACGTGATATTTTTTTCATAGAAAATGTTGTTCATCAGGGTTTTATAGATATATGAACGCTTAATCGTTTCTCTCGCATATCAGCCTGACTCTTAAAAGTGTAATATTTGATTGTAGGGCAATTGAAATTTTCATATTTTGTCGCAAGTGTATTTTCAGATGGGAAATTAATGATATTTTGATTCGGAGGTCAATTTTACATTGATGGGGGCACCGTGACAGCTTTTCTTACCTTACAAAAGCAGTTTATTTAAACATATTGATTACAAAGCCTAAACTTCTAGACCCTTTATCTCCCAAGATCTCATTTGCAATTCTCCTTACTGTCTGCCATATAGTTCTTGTAATGTTAGTTTAGAGAATTTGTTATTGGATCAACTAACAGTCCTCTAATTAATATTTTTCTTTATTCTCATCATATGTCTGCTTGATGTTGTATTGATATTGTAAGAAGAAATTCTGTCTTGGTCACTCATGGGAGTTACAGGGTTAACTCAAAGAAGTTACAGACACGAGAGCTATCCCCCTCCTCTTTTCAACTGGAGGGTTTTTATGATGATATAGCTCTAGATTCTCTAAACTAATTCACGGAGAATTACCTGCCGGCTGCTAGAAGAGTGATTTACAGATTAGATATTTGGAGTAAAATGGTTGCAATAGGCGAGATTGTTAAGTGACAACGATTCTGCACTCTCAATTACTGAGGTTTTTTGTGATACTCGAAAGGCTATTACTTTTCGTGGAAAATTATCACCGCCTTTGCAAAGTTGAAGTTTACACATTGTCAGACAATTTTGTACTGACATTTGATCGTGATTCGTCCTTTAAGCCTCAAAAGTAAAATTAAAATGAAGTTATTAGTCTTAATTTTCATCGGCTTTAGGGCAAGAAGACGCGTGAGATTCATCAATATCATTTCACCTCGTGGCCAGACAGAGGTGTCCCACACCATTCGACTGCGTTACTTGCATTTAGATGGAAGGTTCATGTTCAAAATCAGGCCACCGGCGGACCACTCGTTGTACACTGCAGGTACTCTTTAAAAAAATTGTCATTTGACAACAAGTGGGTGAGGTGGGAAAACATGTTAAAACAGCCGCTACGAATGAAAGTTTTCAGGACTGCTGTGGAGCAGTATTTACCAAAGTTCTCGAAAACTCAAAGATCGCAGCTCAGCTCCACTAGAGCGTGCACTAGTGAGGAGAACAGCTGATCAAGGTCGCCCACTGGATTCGCGGCCGTTAACATTCAAATACAAGTTAAATAGTGTCTGAAGGTTTGGTACAACGAGGAAGGAGATCAATACGCATT